CTGAATCCAGTTTACATGATTTCAATCGTGAAAAGTAATAGAGAAGGAGGGTTGACCTGGGTTTTCAACCACCCTGAGGTTCACAAGGACAAAAGAATCTATCCACTGAGCAGAAAATTGGATCAGATGATTTTTGAGATCCATTCTAGTTCTCAAAATTCCGTAATTCCACCAAAGGGCAACATTGTAAGATCCTTGGGTAACCAATAAAGATTCACTTATATGCTTTACAGTTCTCTTCCTGAGGGGAAAGGAGTGAACTGTTTTAGATATATTTTCAATTCCAAGAGGATTCTAGATTCATTTGAAAACTCAGAGCTTGCATTTCTCCAAGTTTCTGGCTAATCAAGCCTTTTCTCCATCCACTCAGGATTCATTCAGTCAAGAGCAACTAAATTCTTTCATATTCAAGTCACTGTGCTACGCGGTCAGAGATATTTAAAGATAAAACAAAACAAAATAAAATAAAAGACATGACATTGTCCAAGCCCAGCAAAAGCCTATGAACTGTTAAAAGAGCTCTGTAAAAGAGGTTTGGGCTTGAATTCAGAAGACCTTGGTTTACTTGGATCTTAGGAGGGTCATTTTTTTCTCTTTGAGTATGTTTTCTCATATTTGAGTTGGGATTGATAAGACTTAGCTCAAACAGTTAGCAGGAAGGTTAAGTGGCACTCGTAAAACACATTGTAAATCAGAAAAACATTATGAACACATAATTCTTAGCTGCTCTTCCTAATCTGTGCACCACTTTCACGTACATTTTCTCTGTCATTAGCTCCTCATTACAATGCTGTGAGATATGTAGCATGGATAATATTATTCCCATATGACAGTTGCCTCAGAAGGAAACCAACATGCAGAAACATGAAGAACCTTGGCCAAGTTCACATCTATTTCACAGCAGAGTCAACTCTTAGAGAAGACACCAAAGCTGAAATCCTAACTGTGCCATCTCCAGAGAGTGAAGCAACAGAGGGAACCTGGCGATTAAGAATATGGCCCCTGCACAGTTCACCATAGTAAAGGTGTGCAATCAACCTAAAAGCCCATCAGTGACAGATCAGATAAAGAAAATGTGGTGTATATACACTATGGAACACTACACAGCCATAAAAAAGAATGAGATCATGTCTTATGCAGGAACAGGGATGGAGCTGGAGGCTATTATTCTTAGGAAACTGACCCAGGGACAGAAAACCAAATACCACATGTTCTCACTTATAAATGGGAGCTAAATGATAAGAACTTACGATCACAGAGAAGGAAACAACAGACACTGAGGTCTACTTGGGGGTGAAGGGTGGGAGGAGAGGGAGGAGCAGAAAAGAGTATTGGGTACTAGGCTTAATACCTGAGAGATGAAATAATCTGTCCAACGAATCCCCGTGACATGAGTTGACCTACGCGACAAACCCTCACATGTACCCTAGACCCTAAAATAAAACTTTACAAATAAATAAATAATGAAAATAAAGAAAATACAGTTTGTAAAAAGAACATGGGTTCTGGGACCAGACTCCCTGAGTGTGAATCCCAGATCTGCCACTGCAACCCCTAGGACTCTTGGAAAGTGGTTTGCTTTCTCTGTGCCTTGGCTTCCCCATCTGTAAAATGGGGATGCGATAAGATCAGAGGGCGACGAAGGTTAAGTGAGTCTCTGCAACATTTTGCTCAGGTATTGGAAGTTTTATTTTCAAATCTCTCCATTACAAACGGCACCCCTCCTAAAGGACTGTGCTGTGTTGGGTTAGGAGGAGCTTTGAAGTCTGTTGGCCTCTTTTGCCTGTCCTTCCTTCGGTTCATGGATGTCTGGTGTCCACACCTTTAGCCGTGGTCCAAAACCTCAGGAGGGAAAAGGACATTACAAGAAGCACATTGCTTCCTCAGCTGGAAAGCCAGAACCACTGGCTGTGAGCTCACTCTGTGAGGGGAATTTCCACCTCTGAACAAGAAAAAGTAGACTCCACTGAGCACCAGAAGCAAAGTAAGAAGGAGAGACCAACCCCTGACTGTCCAGGTTCGACTCTTACCATGTAAACACTCCCTGGCTGTAGGCAGACACCCATCGCCACACTGGTGTATACATTTACATTAGAGCAAAGCGGATGAATTGGCTCAATTCACTAACACTCTTGTTTTATTTGGAGCCATGAACACTGGGCTGCCAAGTGAAATGGCTGTCTTAGAAAGCGCTTGTGTATTTAAAGAAACATTGCATGCATTTTAACCAGAGATTTCCTCTGTGTGTTTATTTCCAATAGTGTGAGTGCCAAAGGGTGGTAAGTTTGCTGCATCTCATCTGCGGTTGTTGGGGTAAGATGAGGGGCCTGCCTGAGGACACTGAAAGACGGGAGACAGGAGTGAATTAGAAGTCAGTGGGGTTCATCTATTCTTCATTGTTCAGTGGGGTGCAGGATGTTGGAAATTCTTCTGAAGTCAGGGTGCTTGCTGATGGTGTATTTTATCCAAGCCATCATTGCAATACTTCCTGTTTGAATACTGCTTTGCAGATTAGAGTTCCTTCATACATACTCTGCCAGTCACTAGGCAGCAGGAAGACTGCTGGTCTTCCTGCCTCATTACATCGTGGGGCATGTGTAGGGTGACTCTATGCTCGGATAGGGCGCACAGCCTGCAGGGACAGGAGCCACGCCTTTACAAAACTGCTGCCATGTCCCGGCATGTAATCTCAGACAGGTTACTCAGCCTCCCTCGTATTCCTATTTAAGGGCTTGTGAGGATTGAATGAGTTAATATTTCTAAAGAACTTAGGACAGTACCTGACCCATGATAGCCACCTGATCCAATTGAGAATGCAATAAACATGAATGAAAATAACAGTGACTAAGGTGGCGATGATGACAGCAATGATGTGAGGATGGTAAGAACACTTCACTCTCCTCCTTCTTCGTAAAATAGCAATAACAGACTCCAGTCACTTAAGGCCAGGAAGCCACTTGATGGGCACTTTATAAACATTGTGTCTAATATTTACAATGCCTATCTTTTTTTTTTTTTAAACGAAGTCTCACTCCGTTGCCCAGACTAGAGTGCAGTGGCATAATCTTGGCTCACTGTAAACTCCGCCTCCGAGGTTCAGGCAATTCTCCTGCCTCGGCCTCCTGAGTAGCTGGGATTACAGGCATGTGCCACCACGCCCAGCTAATTTTTGTGTTTTTGGTAGAGACGAGGTTTCACCATGTGGGTCAGGCTGGTCTCGAACTCCTGACCTCGCGATCCACCTGCCTTGGCCTCCCAAAGTGCTGGGATTACAGGCTTGAGCTAGTGCGCCCGGCCACAACGCCTATCTTATAGTTGGAAAAACTGAGGTTCAGGAAGGTTAATGAACTGGCCTGGGGTCACAGCACTAGTCAAAGGTGGAGGATTTGGATCTGCACATCTTCAATCCATGCCTTTTCTGCCATGTCACACTGTGTACATCTCCGCGTCATCTTCCCACCCTTGGAGCCACCTGAATACTTCCTTTTAAAAGTTCACTTCTGGATCATTTATCTTTCATCTCTGCATTTTGTTTCACTTTTGTCTTTACTAATGCCATCTACCAGCTTATATTCCCAGATTTCCTGTTGATTATATCTTTCATTTGCAAAGTGTCTTGTGAAATTCAAGAGCATGTTCTGAGGTTCCAGGCTACTTCAACACCAGCTTGGAAATCCTGGGTTACTTAGACAACGTATAGGCTGGAAGTGACAATGGCACATGATCCTGTAGAAACTGAGCCACTGGCGTGTCCCAGGCATAGTCCCACATGCACGGACAATGGCTTCATTTTCACAGGCCTACATTCTGGAGCCTGATATATGCAAATCCCAATACATAGAAGAGAAATAATTATATCACCTCTATTTCACCAAAACTGCATTTGAAAACTATACATTTTAAAGCAGTCATAGTTTTGGCCCAGTCTTGAGTTCAAAATATCAGAATCCAGCCCCTTCTGAGAGAGAGAAGAGAAAAGGGAGGCCCAGGTTCAAGTCTTGGCTCATCTTTTCTGATCTGTAATGTTAAGCAAGAATGTATCCCTCTGATCCTCACATTATTCCTCTTCAATAAAGATAATACCCCATAACAATGCCTTGCTTTTATCTAATACTTTTAGCCATCAAATATGTTTCACATCAGTATCTCATTTAATCAGGCCAAACCTGGTCATCCAGGTATTGTTAAGCATCGACTCCCTGGATCTCTCTAGAGTGCGGTGAACTAGTAGCCAACAACCCACACACCCACCGTTGAGTGGCCCCACCCCCTTGTACAGATCAGAGCAGAGAATTCTGAGAGGATCCCCAATACCACCAGATGTGCTGACTGAAGACTTCTTTAAGCTTATGCACCTTAGAGTGCTAAATTCAATTCCCACCTCTCCACTCGCTAGCCGTGTGACCTTGGGAAAGCTGCTTGACTTGTCTGAACCTTGGTTTCCTTATTACTAAAAGGGAGTAATCATATTTGGGATTGTTTTGAAAGTTCAATCAAATAATGTATGTGAAGAATAAAAGTGCCACAAGAATGGTGCTGCTTCCCCAACCAAAAAGAAGTTGGTAGCCAAGGCCCAGGCCCCTAGAGGGGCAGCTGCCCCCATGACTGGGCAGGGGCCAAATGCCAAGGGTGCTTCTGCTAAGGCCAGTGGGTCCAAGGTGGTGCCTGCCCACCTGTCCAGGAAGACAGAGGCCCCTAAGGGCTCGAGAAAGGCTGGGCTGCCCATCAACATCAAGTCCTCATCATCCAAAGTGTCCAGCCAGAGGGCTGAAGCTTAGGGCCAGAGGCAGGGGTGGAGAGACACCTAGCCTCTGTCCTAGTTTTTATTCTTTAACAAACCACTGCTCTATTTATTTCATTGTAAGCTATTTGTCAATGAAGACTTTTGTTTCTTTTTCCCACCCCCGCAAAAAAAAAAAAAAAAAAAAAAAAAAAGTGTTGGTTGGAGGGAGCCTGTGAGTCTGCAGCGCGCTGTGGTGGGTGCGAACCCCCAGCCGGCTGTGGAGGAGGCTGCTCCCTGCTTCTGGCTGTCACGGACCTGCCGCCTCCAACTACTCCGCATCCGCCGAGCCTGCCCGGGTCCCGGCGCTTGTCTATGGGCACCACGGGGATTCAGCCAAGGTCGTTGAACTGAAGAACCTGGAGCTAGCTGCTGTGGGAGGATCAGACGTCCTCGTGAAGATGCTGACGGCCCCTATCAATCCATCTGACATAAATATGATCCAAGGAAACTACGGCCTCCTTCCCGAACTGCCTGCTGTTGGAGGGAACGAAGGTGTTGCCCAGGTGGTAGCGGTGGGCAGCAGTGTGACCGGGCTGAAGCCAGGAGACTGGATGATTCCTGCAAATGCTGGTTTGGGAACCTGGCGGACCGAGGCTGTGTTCAGCGAGGAAGCACGGATCCAAGTTCCGAGTGACATCCCTCTTGAGAGCGCTGCCACCCTGGGTGTCCATCCCTGCACAGCCTACAGGATGTTGGTGGACTTCGAGCAGCTGCAGCCAGGGGATTCTGTCATCCAGAATGCATCCAACAGTGGAGTGGGCCAAGTGGCCATCCAGATCGCTGCAGCTCTGGACCTGAGAATCATCAATGTGGTCCGAGAGGAGGAACCATGGTGACCTATGGGGGAATGGCCAAGCAGCCCGTTATAGCATCTGTGAACCTGCTCATTTTTAAGGATCTCAAACTTCGGGGCTTTTGGTTGTCCCAGTGGAAGAAGGATCACAGTCTAGACCAGTTCAAGGAGCTGATCCTCACACTGTGCTATCTCATCCGCCAAGGCCAGCTCACAGCCCCTGCCTGCTCCCAGGTCCCGCTGCAGGACTACCAGCGTGCCTTGGAAGCCTCCATGAAGCCCTTTGTGTCTTCAAAGCAGATTCTCACCATGTGATCATCCCAAAAGAGCTGGAGTGACATGGGAAGGAAGGAGGATCCGAGGGGCTGGGTGCAGGCCCCTCAATCAGAGCTCTCACCTTCCCCAGACTACTGCCCTCCTCACTGCCTCTTCCTATTAGGAGGATAGTGAAGCCAGCCACAGTTTTTCCCTACCGTCAGCCTTAAGGCATCTAATAAAATCTGAACTCTCCCCTCCAAAAAAAGAAAAAAAAGGACACCAAGTAATTAAAAATTAAAAATTGGCATGTTTTGAAAGTAGCTAATTCTTATCAAGTAGAGTCAGGAGGAAGAAGAAAGAAGGCTCAAGAGAAATAGCAAGTGTTCAATATGCCTTGAACATTGGCCCTAGGAAAGGACATCGTAAGGTAGCCTTGCTTCAACCACCCACAAAGAGATGGACATGTCTTGGAGTGGATACAAATTGACTAATTTTACATGTGAATAAGCAAGCAGTCACTCAGAAATACTAAGAGGCTGACATCACACAGGTAGCTAGTGAGTTTCTAGAAGATGAGAGCTACGTGGATCTTATTCACCGCTGTATCTCCACCCCTTCCCTGGCAGGTGGCTGCTGCTGGATATGTTTGTTGTTGCTTTGCCTGCCTCGCTGGGCAGCATGTCCCTCCCAGACGAATGGTGGCAGGAGGTGATGCTATGCCCAACAAGTGGGTGTGGCGACAGAGAAAGATCAGAGTTATTTAAAACTCTAATCACCAGGCTACTCCTGTGTCCCTATGGCCTACTAATGATATGAAATCCCACCGGCTCTTCTGTGGAGCTCCGAGCTTCGGCCTCACCTGCCTCCACACAGGGAGAAAGTATCACCACCATGCAATTGTTCAAAAGCGTTCCTCTCTTGCAAACAGCCTCCTCCCCAAACCCACCAGCAGGAATGATGCCTAATGCACACCTCCAGGCTTCAACCTCTGTCTCACCTTTTACTATCATCTCAGCTCCCATCCAGTAACTCTCCTATGGTGACACTTCCATAAACCTGAAATTTCCTCCTTCTCCCTTAAATCTGAGGGATTAAGACTCTGGTGGCTCCTGAATGATGCCACTTCTTGTCCTACTCTTGCTCCACTCTGGGGCATTGCTCTCCCCTCCTCACCTGCCTCCCTTTTCTCACCTCATGCTCCAAGGCTCACCCTCCCAGAGGCGAAGTAGTTCTAGAGGATCGACCTCTAAGGTGGACGTTGCAGGACCCAAGCAAAGCCACACAGTTACCGGGGACCTTAGGCACAGCCACAGTGGACAACAGTAGAAGGCCGTAAGGGCTCAGGGTGCAAACAGGACAGAGCCAGAGCCCACAGGAAAGACAGAAGAGATTGGAGGTTTCATGGTGAAGAGGCCACATGCACTCTGTCAATAGCCAAGAGGATTCTGACAGGTCCAACTGGAGATGGAAGGAGATGCCCTACTAAGAAAACCTTAACCAGCCGTTACATCTGAAAAAGAACTGGGAGACATGGGACTAGCCTGATGGTGAGACAGAGACCCAGACGAGCCATAATGGGGAGTGAGAGCTCCCTAGGCCACCTGAAATCTTGAAAAACATGGGTTTCAAAGCCAAATAGGCATGGATTTTAGTCCTCCCTCTGCTCTTTTAAGCTATGGCACCTGGAGCAGGTCACTGAATCTCCCGAGCCTCAGTTTCCTTACTGTGGCCTATATTCTGAGCATATAAATGATTATCTACTGCCTTTGGGATCAGGCGCAAACCCCTTACTCTGACTGTAAACCTTACACAAACACCATTAATTTGATTTTATACTCAGCAATTTATTTTTTTAATGATTTTCAGAATACACACTACAAGTTATAAGGCTCAATGAAATCTTGCTGGTAGAAATATACATAAAAATTTACAGTCTTGTCCATAGCAGGGGTCAGGATTTGGTCAGCATAAAATTGTCATGCTCCTCAGTAGAGGATAAGATTATATAAAAGAAAATCCTGGACTCAGAGGTTGCCTCAGAGTCCCTCTGGCTGCAAGATTCTAAGTCTCACTGTGGGGAAGGCCAGGAGAAGTGGAAGACAGAATCATACACCTCCGAGCCTGAAAGGGATTGAAGAGTGAGCACCGTTACAAGGATCTGTCTTCCACACACACTTTGCCTAAGTCTGGCTCTGGTCCCGGGCCGCACTGCAACAGGAAGAGGTATTTAAAAGGAGTAGCAGGTGTTAGAGGCTGAATTGCTTCTGTCGGCCTCATCACAAAAAGCACTAAGAAAATGCTGGAGTTCAAATGACCATCCATATTCTAGAGCATTCCAGAGTCTTCCCAGGAGTTCTCAAGCCATTAGCCAAGCTGAAACATGACACCAAATATTTAAGGGGAAAAAAATTGTTGCCATCTTTTGTTTCCAGAATACCTGCCATGAATTTCAGGACTTGTCTTCCACCCGCCCCTGTCTCCCCTCCCACTGGAGCCAAGTGCACACAGGATTCTGGCAGCTTCCACTTTCCTCACACCAAGTTCTAGCCTTCTCAAGAACCGAGCACCTGCCACGACTGCTTCCACTGGCTGGACTTCCAGGGGCACCTTGCTCTTGGTTGGGATGTGATGAAAACTACAGTGATTGAGAAGCAGCCAGGCCTTGGCCTTCTTTCCTCTGCACAGAACATCCATCTCCTGTTATATCTGTCCACCTGATTGACCACATACCACTTTCTGCAAGGGCCGGCTAAGGTCAAAGCCAAGACAGCTGCAGGAAGAAGCTGGACGCCTTGGGGATCACCACCTGGGCTGCCAGCGCACTTTGGTACTGCTGATGCCCAGACCCTGGTCAGGCATCGGAGATGCAGCCACTGGAGCTCAGCTGGCAGCCCTGGCCTCCAATGAAATTAAGCCCCAGTGAAATCTGAGCTCCCCACTTCTTGAGCTGTGTTGACTCTGGGTGCACCTGTCCTGTTCACATCTGTGCCTTCAAAGAAGCATGTAGGAATAGGGAAGAGGTGCCCCAGGCCAGTTTGGGGAGGTGCCCAGGAAACTGTGCCAGGCGGGTACAAGACACCATGCTCACAAGGCCAAGTGTGGGAATACTGGGTGGCCGGGTAGGTCATAGCCTTGAGCCATGGACACACCCTCCTCCCAATCCCAACCTGTGCTAGCCGCCTTAATAATGCCTGTGTATAGACAGCAAGGAGGCTAAGTGAGAATATGGACAGTTCAGGGAAGCTTGTCCCTGAAACTACAGAAGGAATCTAACTCAGCTCTGAAGGGGTAGAAACAGACAAACATCATCTCCTCTCATTAGCTAGTCGTGATGGAGACCAAACACCTTCTCTGTCCACTCAAGCAGTAGCTAAGATGGTAAATGATGGCTGGGGTTTAGATTAACTGTGTCAGCAAGAGCACTGATCCCAGACCTGAAGACAACACAGGGTTTCCCTGAGTACAAGCCTTTCCTCCAGAGCTCCTGATGGTAGCCCTGCGGCACCCAAGATGGCAGCCCTGCAGCAGCTTCTATGCCAGGACCGATTTGGCAGAAGAGCCCCTGCCATTGGACCAGTGCAGGCCCAGGTTTATAGTAATACCTGCTACATCATTACATTGACTGGCTGGGGGAAAGCGAATGCTCTTAGGATTGGTTGGCTAAGTTTCAACCTGAGTCTTGGATGGTCTAGGTGAAGAAAGAGCTTCCTTTTTCAAATCCGGTTGAAATGTGGTTTTATACAGTTTCAGCTACAACTCTTTTCCTAATATTTATAATGCAACAGGACTAAGATCCATGTTGACTATAACCGGAAACAGCACAGAAGGCAACGTAGTGACCTTCACCTCCATGGTGCCTGCTTAAAGGACTCCGATGGCTCCTTTAAAAGCTCTCTCCCAAAGACTTGTCACAATCCAAGGAATTACCATCTTTGGAGTTTCATTCCTTTGGGTTAAGATAGTGTCCTCTGTCAAAATGTTAAAATCCTGGGAGGGATAACACATTGAGTATCAGTCTCCAGCAGCCAAGAATTCATTTATCACACTTTCATCGCCCTCACCCCGACCATCGCTGGCTGCCCGGCACTGCTCTCCCCTCCTTCCCATTCATCTTATCCTCTTCTGACAGCAATGGCTTTTTAAAACAGCCCACACCTGTCCCTGTCGCTTCCTTTCAAAAATGCTTTGCTAACTTCCCTTCTCTTAGGAATACAACTCCAACTCCTTAGAGTCTTTAGAATTGAGAGCCTCTTGTGCTTTGGCCCCTGCAGGAAGATCATGGCCCTTCAGTTCTCACACCCTACGCTGCACACCTTATGCTGCACACCAGGCTCCTCAGTGCTCCTCTTCGATAGCCAGGCCCTTTCATGCCTGTCTTCTCCCACGTGCTTCCACTGGCCTTCCTCTACTTCTCCTCCTGCGGAACTCCACCCCACCCTTCGAGATTCACCTGATATTTTATCTGGATTGTGCTGGGTTTCCACATCCCACCCCACTCTGGGCACTCTGTCCTGACAGTCCTTTTATCCCAAGCTCTGGACACCACTACAGAGACATTAGTCACACGGTCCTGTATCATGTAAATATAATGTGTGTGTGAGTGTATAAAGTGGATATAATAATATTCCTTTCCCCCTTTCAGCTGGGAGCTCTTCCTGAGCAAGCACTATGTCTTATTCATTGTACTCCTCTGCACCCTCAATTCCCAGCATCTGGTACATGGTCAGCCTTCCACAACAAACGTGTTCTCTTCCACACCGACAGTCAGCTGGGAGACTTTTATATGAGAAAAGGGAGCAATGTGGGCTGGGGGCAAGGAGTGGAGTAGGATAGAAGTAGTCTGTATGTTGTACATCAGCCTAAGGACCCAGGCAGCTACATGACACCTGGATGAAGGAGAGGAATCCTAAAAGGCCGGGACCCAGGACAAACATCACCAACCTATTCATGTTCTCCAGGGCCAACCGAAGCTTAGCAAAGAGTGCTAGCCACTTAGAGCTTTTTAAAACCTCTCTGCTAGATTTTACGTTATTTTTTTCTTTGACTCCCAAGTTATTTAATCCTATGTTCAGGTTTCTAAATGTATGTGTGTTATCCTTTTGCCATTAGTTGCTAATTTAATTGCATCGTAGTCAGAAAACATCATCGGTGTGTTCCTGATTTCTTTATTGCCTAAAATGTGACCAGTTTGTATAAACATTTATACTGCGGAGAATATGCAAGCCCCAAGTATAGGGAGCAGGGCTCCCTAAAGGTTCACCAAAG